TGGCCAGATGGGGACCACAGTTGTGCTGGGCACACTGCAGAGCCCTGGCATGCTCCTTGTGCCGGGGAGGACGCAGGGGTCTGATATGTCCAGGCACGTGTTGCATCCCCACAGAGTGCATCTACCTTAAGCACCTCTGTCACCCTCCCCTGCACCATTAGGACCAGGGCTATACGGACTGGGGAGAATGCTCCTTGTCATCTATATCCCCATGTCCAGAACACCATTATTTGGGTGGCTGTGACAGCCCTGTACCCCAGGCATGGTAGGGTGCCCTATGCTATGGGACTGCTCCAACACTGGGCTCATCTCACCTCCTTCTCTCCTTGCAGGGCACAATGGGCTGGTGGCAGTGAGTACCAAGAGCACAGTGGTGCTGTCTCTCCTCCATCCCTGGGGACAGTGGGGGAGCAGGGAGGGTGTTGCTGGCAGTGTCCATGGGGCTGAGGCCTCCCACAGGGCTGTGGGAAGCAGGGTCCTCCCTGGTGATGGGGTGCTCGGGATGACAAGAACACATCCCATCTGGCGGGACGGGCAGTGTGATGCTGTGCTCCCCGCAGGCTGCCTACTTGCAGCGGGCAGGGCTGCGCACAGCCGTGCTGGAGAAACGCCATGTGCTGGGCGGTGCGGCTGTCACAGAGGAGATCGTGCCAGGTACCCCTGTGTGTCCCCTGTCCCCACACCCCTGGCCAGCCCTGGGCATGGACGCCACCCACTGCACCACAACTTTCAGGCTTCAAGTTCTCCCGGGCATCGTACCTGCTCAGCCTGCTGCGGCCACAGATCTACACTGAGCTGGAGCTGCAGGTACCAGCACCCATCCCTCACTGGCTGCTGGCACCCTGCGGTGGTGAGCCTGCGGCCAGGCTGTCCCCACAGCGTGGTCCCTGCCATCCCTGTCTTGCAGCAGCATGGTCTGAGGGTGCTCCCACGGGACCCCTACTCCTTCACCCCACTGCTGGAGGACAGGAATCCCCCTCGCTCCCTCCTGCTGGGAAACAACATGGCCCAGACCCAGCAGCAGATTGCTCAGTTCTCCCAGAAGGATGCCCAGGTACTACGTGGGGGCATGTACCCAGTATGGCAAAGCCCCTACAGGGCTGCCTTGCCCATGGAGTGGCAGGATATCCATCACACCCACCATTGTACAGTCCCTGTTGTACCCCTTCTGTCCCCTTTGTCCTGGGTTCAGCTATAGCAGTTATTTTTCTCCTTCTTAGTAGCTGGTGCACGGGCGGTGGTT